TCTGGTGAAAGTTAAATAGTCCAAAACCTACATGAAGCAAATTATTGCTATGCCTGAAAGTAACTACGAAGTCAGATATAAATCAGGTTTAAATAAACTTCTTATAGTGAAAAAAAAAAACTTAAAACATAACGGCATGTTCTTATGCTAACAAAATAAACTACAGCTCATGGTGATATAGTTAAACAGAAACAGTCAAATTCAGACTAAAATGTGAACTAGCAGTCAATTTAATTTTAAGCTAAGCTGGCTCATTAACTCTATCGTCATAACAAATTCAAACGCTACGATAATGCAAAGACCAATAATTGCAAATTATCAGAGCTGGCAGGAACTAATGCAGTGTGCATGCCAAAGCCAGAAATATCTCTATTTTTGAAGAAAAATGGAACTACTCTTATATGCGCTCTCAGGCCACCAAATTTCTCGCCAAACATCCATGGTGCCCTATTACTATCTAAATTTTTTGTCTACATTTTCGAACTTTAAGCCCTAAATGTCACCAAAAACACATAATTTAAGCTAAAAATCCGAAACAAAAACAAAAAATTTAGATAGCAGAAACGTAAAGTTTCTAACCAAAAATATCTGACAAGAATCCATATACACAGCAATATGTTTTAACTTAAAAGAACATGTACGAATTGCACAATCTAGGCAGCGAAAGAATCTATGAACTATGCACACCTCGCTTTAATAAATTAACATACCATGTACACAGCATTATGTTTAAACTTTAAAAAACATCTACAAATTGCACTATATATATATTACACGACAACAGGGTTGCCATATAACATGCAATCGCGCCAAAAACCAGCGCAGAACACATATAGCCACATTTGGTGATCTTGAGGTGCATATAAGAGTAGAGCCAGAAAAATTTTAATTCCAACATTTTTAAAATTACATTAGTATTTTGGCTTCTCCCCTCCTTAAAACCCTTAATAACATCCTAGATGTCTACTTCATTGCTCAATTAGCTATAATGCAGACAATACAAAAATATTTGCAAAATAAACATTTATAGCTATAAAATACTTTTTAAATGACATTTATTTAAAAAACTCTCCTCACAACTCTCTAACAAAAAACTCTTCTCTATTTATAGCAACTGTGATGAAAGTTCACAATAATACAGTCAAAAGTCGTTAATCCGGACTCGTCGGGACTTCGGCGATTCCGGATTATCGATTTTTCCAGATTATAGATCATCAGTTTAAATCTCGTAAGATGGCATGCAGAAATTATAAAATTAAAAATATGAAACCGTAATTTATGAAATAAAAAGAGCAATTATAATCTAAAGGATATCAAAATTTACAAAAAAAAAAAAAAAAAAAAGCTTAATATTTATTTGTTTACTTTATTAAACATTTCTTTCAATGCAAGTTGTTTTAAGTTCCTTCGTTTTATGTGATAATACTTTCTCTTTAATTCTATAAACAGACACAATTTCTTGTTCAGTTACAAAGTTCCGCTGTTCAAGTCCCGTTAATTGTTGTGCCGAGAATACCGACTAACATGTCAATCGAAATTTTTTCGTTTTCACTAACCTCTCTGTCACATTCTTCATGTCTTTATCCATTTTTTGCAGCAATTCCACTTTTTGTTTGATGGACATCGAAACATACTTTCGTTTTGTACGATCCTTTGGGAGCTCCAGAATCGGAAATTCTATTTGACATAATCGAAAGTTCAAGTTTACTTTTATAAAATTGCTCTTAAGATAATTAGATAATTTTAGATTATACCGTCTGTTATCACACGCGAAAAATGTATTCTGCGCTTGCGCACACGCATATGCGCAGTGGTAAAATGTCTTACGCATCAGCGCATGCGCAGAAAGTTTTTAGCTTTGAGGTCCGGATTATGGGTGTCCGAATTAACGACTTTTGACTGTATTACAGTATTTATAATATTTGGAACTTTGTTCTAGAGACCTGTATTTTAGAATAAAGTATAAAAATTCAAAAGGTCCATCCTTCCCTTAATAAGGAATTCTTCATTATTAATGTTACAATGATCATAATTTATTTGATATTTGTAACTTTCATTCAAAAGTTAAGTTTTGATGGAATAAAAAAGATATAAAAAAGGTATGTAACTATTGAAATCTTGTGCTAATGTTTTGAAATACTTTACCTTGGGTCAAAGCTATTTTTTCCCCTCAATTTAATTCAGTATGAAATTCAAAATCTCACTATTCTTTACGTCTCTTGGAGACCACATGAAAAATGCCATCCCTAAAAAAGTGTCAGCCGGTGAGAACTTCCCTCTCCACCCCTTCTAACTATGCCCCTGTTGCTGCCTAGCAAATAAATCCCTGCACAGTTACAAACAGCTTCTCAAAACTACTAAACCAGCTGTCAAACTGTATGCTTTTCCTTCAGTTATGAATTTTTTACATTGCACCACCAAATGATTTCATTAATACACAGTCTTACCAAGATTTTTTTTTTCCCAATGTCCTACTGGTTGCGAAATGAAAAAACACCCATAAAAATCCAACGGCACAGATCGCGAAGTTAAATTTGGCGACCAACCCTGCTACAGCAACCTGCTAGTTTTTTTGGGGGGGGACGCCATTTTGTTTTCACGAAGTAAAGGCATTTTTTTTTCACAATCTGCTAGCCGAATTACGCTTATGCTAGAACTTTTATGGAACAAAAGTGCTTAATCATGACGAAGATTAGGTGCAAAATTGCAGAAAAGTGCAAAATCGCAAACTGCTTGCCGCAGTTTTTAAGAATTGCACATACACGGTATCCATGTACACGTCAAACTATTTTCACTTTAAAAAAAAAAATCCCAGAATTGCACAAAAATGGGCACTGCGCACACTCTTGACTTTATCTATGTACACTGCTAAAGTCCTAGCTGGTAACCTTTATCGCCTTACCAAAATGTCACCAAACTACCTGTTACCATATTCCAAAGATTAGCTAAAAAAAATCCCAGAATTGCACAAAAATGGCATTGCGCACACTCCTGACTTTGTCCATGTACACTGCTAAAGTCCTAGCTGGTAACCTTTATCGCCTTACCAAAATGTCGCCAAACTACCTGTTACTATATTCCAAAGATTAGCCCAGGTGTTTACCGCAGTGTTTCGAGTATGCCCATTAATCACATCAGGTCTCAGTCATCAGTGAGCACATAAACATGCCTCGCATAATAGTCTCTCCTGCTAAGTGTGAAGTGCATACTATCATTCACTTTCTGTAAGCTTAGGGGTGCAGTGCACTCAAAACTCATCAACAAATGAGTAATGTATATGGAAAAACTTTCATGAATGACAAAAAAGTATGGCTTTATTGTCATTCATGAAAACTTTGAAGCAAGACATACAGACATTGATGATGCATGCAAGCAGGGAAAGAAACAAGTGTCAACCAATGATCTTGTTCAGCAAGTGGATCGAGAAATTCGAGAAAATCTTGCATTCACAATTTCTGTATTGAATGATACCTTTCCCAAATTTTCATGGTCATTTCTCCATGCCATCATAAGTGAGACTCCAGTACTGCAAACTATTTACAAGTGGATCAAGAAATTCAAGAAAATCTTCTGTTCACAATTTCTGTATTGAATGATTCCTTTCCCAAAATTTCACAGTCAGTTCCCTACATTATCATAAGTAAGACTTCAATACTGCAAAATATTTATAAGATAAGTTCCAAAGGTGCTGTCCGACCATCACAAAACAGAGCATTGATGTTTCGAATAAAATCGTCATCAGATGAGACCAGAGTCCATTTCGAAACTGAAAAAATAAAAGAATAATTCAAATAAGTGAATACATACTCATTCCCCACATAAACCAGAGTAGTTCAAACAAACTTTCTCCAGCCACTATAGCCCATACATTAGAAAGTATGGCTACAATGTTCCGAGACCATACAAGCGTTTTCTTGGAATTCATCACACATGACACAACTATCACTGCAGTTTGAAATCTTGTAATATATGACACATTAAATAATTGAAAACTGGGTGCTCATAAATATGAAACAGAGTTTTACTAATCATCTACAGTATCTGTTAATCAAATCACGTAAAACTGTCATCCAATAATGGCCAGTGATGGAAAGTTTAAAATTCTACTTCGGAGAAAAAAAAAAGAGACAGAAAACTTCAACCTTTCCAATGATTTACAAGAAACTCTGAATATCAAAATAAGGTATCTTTTGGCAAGAGAAACTAATTTAATACCTTTCAACAGCATTTAGCAAATAAGAGTCAAAGAAAAATTCTAAAAATTGGAAGTTCATTCCAAGACTAGAAAATAATGGTTGAGTTATCACATGGACTTATTTGTCACTTCATTGAAACTTAAATTTAATTACGTTTATGCTGTTTAATGTTCTTGAAATATTTTAAATACTTGCTCAGACCAGATTTAAACCTTATCAAACGCACTTCATGAGAAACGATAAATAAAACTGGAAAATAATATTGGAACTTAACAATGAAAAATGAAACAATAATAATTAAGGTAGAAATAATAAAATAAAATTAGCCAAATCCATACCACAATGATCAAACTATGTTTTTGAAAGCTAATAATACTTCTACAAATATTAGAAATTATTTATATAATACAGTAATAACTGTCCCATCACTTTTCTTACAATATTTTCACAACCCAAAGAGAAAAAGTAATTTTTAAGTTTAAAACTTCAGTTTAATGCATTGGAAATTTTTGGCATTATTTTGGGATATCACAAGTACATAATGTTTTAAAGATTCAAATGAATTTTCTGGAAGTTCTAAAAAAAATTGGAAGTTTTCGAGATACATGTTATTAAAACTAGATAACATTAAGGAACTGATATAAAAGTGTCAACTCATTTCAATTAATATTTTTTTGTTCTGCTATTTTACATATTTTTTTTCGGCAGTACTTATTAACAGCCGTAGTAAAGAGACAAACAGCTAGTTAAAGATTTACAGATTAAAATGTTTAGAAATTAGAAAAATAATAAGACTTAGCTTACCTGTCCTGAACTTGTGTCAACTCAACTTTTTTAGGAGATGTTAGGAGAATAGATATGTAATGACGAACAATTCCAAAGAGAAATGTGATTATAACTATAGGAAGAAATACCCATAATCGGATATCAGGATCAAGCAACAATTCAGACATTTACTTATTTCCGTAAACTACAAGAACTACAATACGATTTCCAATGTTCGAATGGGCTTCGTGTTGCCAGATAAAAGATAAGAACTCTCCGTGAATACCGAAAATTGCATAGACATAAAAAGAAAAAAGGCCTTTCTTTCTCCTGTTTCGCGATCTCACTCACGTGGAAAGCCTTTTAAAACTCTTCATGATATTATTCTTCATTTTTCTCTTTTTGAATCAGAAAATGATCTCGGCTATAAAGCTGTTACTCATTTACCACCACCCAGGGAGCGAGTAATCAACGACTTCATACAACAGTAACAACGACCTCATATAAGGCTCCTCTAAACCACTAGCGTCTACATCTCAAAACGGCAGCCTATGAGACAGGCGATTCTATTATTTTCATCGGGGAATAGGGAAGTTAGAATGGTTTTCTGAGGAACGCCAACGGCAGTGGACTATATGTTTGCTTACATTTGGAAGTTCAAAAAATTGGAAAGGTGGATTGCCTTAGTTTCTGCGGTTACTTTCAGAGAAATATTAGGCAGTTTTTTTTTTTTTTTGTTTGCTGATAGAGGGCAAATAGATAATTTACCTTTATAATTTCCTTTATAAAAAACAATACATCATAATTAAAACTATTATTTATAGTTCATTATTAAAACTTTTATAAATGCATAGTTATCATATAATTAACAATTCATCCATGCATTATCTCATTATTTTTATAATTAGAAGAGAAGATATTTTTTAATGTTTAAAAATTTGCTGTTGTCTTTTAAAAGATTTACAAGTCCTTAAGATTATATTCTGTTTGTGTTAAATATATTCGCTTCGCTTCCTTAAATCTTCTAAGTTTTAAATAAACGCGGATTATAATGTAAATTGTCTATTTGCCCTCTATCAGCAAACCGAAAAAAACTGCCTAATATTTCCTTGTAAGTAACCGTAGAAACTAAGGCAATCCACCTAAGCAATTTTTTGAACTTCCAAATGTAAGCAAACATATAGTCCACTGTCGTTGCATTCCTCAGAAAACCATTCTAACTCCTCTACTCCCAGATGAAAATAATAGAATCGCCTCTCTCATAGGCTGCCGTTTTGGGATGTAGACGCTAGTCCTCTAAACCAGGCTGAATCACAAACTTTTCTCTCTTCGCGAGGGAGTGAACGCGCTGCCAATTTTGGCGCGTTTATCGCACACGCTGGCTGAATATCTGCTGTTTTTTTTTTTTTTTTTTAAGATTTATTTTATAGACGCGCGGCATTCAGCGCATATAAACTTTTCGGATAATTTATTAATTCTCGAATAGTATATAGACGTTTTCACCTAAATAAAAATTTCGCGTATATTTTGTAAATATATTCAAAATAACTTATTTTTAGATGTTTCAGTTTCGTTAGCAGACTATAATAAATAAGATATGAAATAAAAACTTTCAATAGTGTCAAATGGGGAATAGTTTAAAGCGTAGAGTGTGCAAATAACTTTATCTTAATGAATTTTAACAAAAATTTCCATAAAACCACTGTAAATTCATACTAAAAAATAACTTAAGAATATGTTGTCATTTAAGTCTGAGGTATATGGAAATAATTGTGCAAGATTTCTGAAGAAAACACTTTCTTTTTAAATGTGTGAAATATTTCATAACATATATGAAGAAAAAAGTACAGCATTCTGTGTTTTGGATACTTTTCATCCAAATGTAATATAAATACGAACTAGGAATCCGTAATAAAAAGTCCTTCCTCCTCCAATCAGATCACCTTTGTGTTGCATTGTGTTTGTAATACTTCTAAAAATTCTAATTTTTACCTAAATTAAAGAACAGTTTATTACCATAAAAGATAATAAATTTGAACACATATAGAATGAATTTTTTAATTTGAGTCATGTTACAAAATAATTCATAGTTTATATATTTTATATTAATAATTTAAATAAAAACCTGTCCTTTTACAATTTAAGAATGTGTGTTAACCATATTCTTAAATTGTAAAAGGACGACTTAACCACATGTAATTCATTTCAAAGCATAAAAGAAAGCTTATTTTTTTATTTACACAGCAACAGCATTTTCATGCAGTCAAGTTTTTTTAACTGCTAGTTATTATACATAATACTTACTTTTAAACCCATTCTTATTAGAAAGCATAACTAAGAAACTTCTTTTTAAAGCACCACAGTGATTGCAAGAATGTCATTAATTTACAAAAGTATTGAAAATATATTGAACAGCATTATAACAAGAAAGTACTGTACAAATATGTAATTTAGCATAACTTCTTTTTTAGTATTTGCATAGTTTCCTCCAAATGAACCTTAATGGGAAGTTATCTTGCGAAAATTTAAAAGTATTAAAATGGCCTCTATTTAAGATGTAACTGCATTTATAATTATTTTGTAATTGCGAATAGATTATATTATTGCAATTAGATTATGCACTTACAACATAATTGCATAAAGTAATGAATTAAGAGTTCACAGATACAATGTAATATAATTACAATGCAATTACCTAATTGTAATTATAATCACTTATTAATACCACAATATTATTACAATCACAATGTAATTTAATTGGGTACTATATTTGCATACCCTCCACTCAAAGGAGGTACTGATAAGCCTGGAAGTTATTATCACAAAAAGCCTGTTCAGGACAGTTTGATGACAATTTCCACCGGGCGAAAAGTACATTCTTAACCCAGGCAAATCATGACATAAAAATCATTTAGTCTTATGATTGACTATATTTTAAACCCCTAAATTTGAATTCAGCACAAAATTATTTACCTATATTTTTTAACATACTTTATGAATTATTAGAACGATATGACAAATATCTTCTAAAATAACTGTAAAATATCTGTATCCATTATTGATTCAGATACACACTTTTATTTATTTAAGTATATCAAAATAACAGTTTCATGTTCCTGAAATACAAAATTATCGAAAAAGTTAAATATTCTTAGAAGCATATGATATTAGTCACCAGGTGCAAAATTATAGTTAATTTTTTGCCCTAATACATTTTATTACACAGTATTCAAATGTGTAACTTAATAACATGTTTATAAAAATTAATGATAATAAGTTTATCATAAATGAATTAATTCTGCAAATAAACTTTCTGCACTTGAAAATTACTTGAAACTTTTCTACACCTGAGGCGAGGGAGAGGTCTAGTAAAAGCAGATTTGTTATAACTTCAGTTAGACCAAACACCTTCTATATATATATATGCATCACTAAAGAAATAAATAAAATTATCATGCTTAAAAACAGATGAACATATCAGATTTTTAGCTTGTTACCCTTTACATTGAGAAATGCATACAATATAACGCTGAAAAATATTATCCTTGAAATTTTGTTAAAATAAGGGAACACACACCATCTTTTCATTTAAGCATTACACTTCAAAAACAGATACACATACCAATTTATTTTCACATTGTGACCCATTTATGAAGGTTCACTGAGAAATAACATGCTACATAAAAATGAAAAGCCAATTATCCTTGAAATTTAGATAGCAAATGAAGTAACAAAATGGGAAAAAATTTATGCACGCTGGACACATCTTTTTTCTATTGCATGTTGTCTGACATGATCTACAAGTGCCTAAAAACTGTACCCAAAGAAACGCATTTCAATATTAACACAAAAATTGTTTACAGATTAAAAGTTCATTCATTTTATACTAGTATTATAAAGATCATGCATGAAACAAATCTGCTTTCCCATACTTTTAAGTAAAACTTTTATACTGGAAAATAGACTATATTTCTATATATTAGAAACAAGAAAATACTAATTTGAATGTTCTGCATTCATTTTCTAAAATCTTTACTCCATTGCCAAATTGTATAATACTGTGATTATAAATAAACTTGCACAATCCTTGCAATTATTGAAGTCAGATTATATATATTTTTGTCTCACACTATTCAATTTATTCTATTGACTTCAGATGTCAATGTCAAAATTCTGGAAGTTATTTTAACCAAGAAACAGTAGTGGGCACCGTGCATAAACAACTCATCTAACTTTTTAACAATAGTAATTATAAAATAAAGAAAAAATTATATATCATTCCAACGATATTTGCAACTATAGTATAATGTTACATATATCTTTAGCAAACATTCAGATTTTATCTTGACTTTTCCAAATTATTATTTATTTTTTAATAAATTTCAATATGCTAATGATTTTCATGTTACATTAGTATAAATTCCACAATTATCACAGGAAAACAAATCCGCGCTTTATATTAGAAAGAATTTCTTTTCCACATTCAAAACATCTACATTGGCGATGTTTGGCGACGGGTACATTAACCCTAGACTAATTTAATTATAGCTTTATTACAGAAATTAGCAGATACTCAGGTTATTGTACACAAGAATTTCACTTTACTTGCACATTATAAACATCAGAGAAGATATAAACTCTAAATGAAGGCGTAATTACATTATACTTACTAAGCAAAGTTCAGCGCCTGGACCAGGTTTCCAATTGTCTCTTCGGCAATTATTTACCCATATTTTTCTTCTTTCTTCATTTTTAGGAATTTTACCAATGCATGACCTTTCCGTGAATGATTTGAACAAGTAATAGCTATACATCCGCCCATTTTACACAAAAAATTGTTGCACCGTAACTACACAGCCGCCATTAAATCTCCCACTTGGGAGCGCGAATGCCTGATGATTCAGCCTGGTATATAGGAGCCTTATTCTTTGCCTTAACCTCATATATCTCGTTGCGAGTAACGTTGCCCCCCCCTCCCCAAAATGAATATTCCGTCGAGACCAGCAGCCTATGGATCTATAGTCCATATATTAATATACAAAATATAGTTAAATATAAATAATGTTTAAAACACAAAAAATTGTTTATCAGACTTTTTGTGTCACCAACATTTACGTCTGATTATATTTTATGGCAATACAGCCCTCCTGTGTAGTGAGAACCCCAAGTTTAGAAGGTACCTTCGATCACAAACTCACCTGGAAGTTGTATATTGATGATATTCTGCAAAAGACTGAGAGGCTTATGTCATTTCTGAAACGTCTGGAGGAGTTATATCTGTTACGAAGAACACAGAAAATATATAAATCAAATATATTTAAAACAGTTCGTTCAGTTGCGGGCCTGCCTCTACCCGAGGCTGGGTGCATTATGAATAAAAACAAAAAATTCTTAATAAGTCATTCTTTATTTCCATCAAAACAGTATTACTCTTGTGAGATCAGCTT